GAATTTGGATTAACTAGTGGTAAGAGATTAACTTTTTTAAAATTTGTATTTATATCTGTATGGGAGATAGTCAGAAGTCACTTTCTGTTCTATCTATCTTCACTATTTTAGTTTTTGTCTTTTAATTTTCTATCTTTACTGTATTCTCTTTTTTGTTTTTAATTGTATTCTTAATATAATATAATAAAGTTCTGATAAAAAACAAAAAGAAGATATTGGCCTGCAAACAACTTCCTCATACCATCCAGAGTCAGTCCAAGACATAGTGACTGACTTGACATATTTCACTAAACTCTAATGTGATTTGTTTGGTTTTAGCTTAGTGTATTGTATGAATCCAGATGTGTTTCATTTAACAAACCATCACTTGATACAATATGTGAACCCAGCTGACTGACATATATTGCTAACCTATGCTTTAATTATAGTTTGTTAAAGATTCACATTTGGCTGGGTTCGTACACAGCAAAAAACAGCATAATTTGCATAGCACAATGGCTAGGTTCACACAAAACCAATTAAATCATTATTAATACAATCTACAAATTAGATCACAAACAGTATGACTGCTGGTTAACTCGCAGAGTAGATATGATACAGATTGTTTGATTTAGCAACTTGAAGGGGAGCATTTATGAGGTGAGGTTTTTTACAACTTGGAGCTAAATATGAACATGTGCTAACGTCTGGGTATCAAACTTCTATTAAGGGCATTACACTACATTACACCATTTGTCTTAAACAAAGAAACCATAATATAGCAATAGCAGATTATGCTCTATTGGAATTAAGTTTCTGAAAATTAGACATGGCTGTATTATCGGTTGTTTGGGAAGCTGTTGAAGGAAAACATTTTAGTACTTTATTGATTGCTTACAAAGGTATCTAGGACAAACTTTTCCATTGTAAAGTGTTAGGCTATGCTACTTGGAAGTTGCAGTCTCAACACACATACAAGGAAGTGGGTTGGGGAAGGCTGAATTCTCTGAGTCTGGTCTGTAAAGGAGAACATTTCTCAGTAACTTTGCCACTAAGATGAATGATATCTTGCCCTATCCTGCCCACAAGCATGGACAGAACTAATAGCAGATGTACAGAGAAAACATCTGCATTGCTGGGTTCATCTACTCTACACTACTCTACCAGCATGGCTACGCTGGCTGGAAATTAAGAGAAATGTTATTCCAGCTGGTCTGGAGTGCACCAGGTTAATTTAGGAAAAAGTAAAAGTTCTGATAATTCCAATCAAAGAGAATAATGCCATACTGATAAGTGCTTTTTTGTGTCATACTCTAGTCAACTAGGAGGATAAACTTTGCCTTATATATGTACTTATTCTGACTATCTGGTTTGTTTCCAACCACATGGGATATTCCATATGTTAGTCATTAACATGTCAGTTAAGAAACAGCTGGGGGCAGTGCTCCTCTGTGGCAGAGAGACAATGCTTTTTCTGCACACTCTTTTTGTGAATTAAATAGGCAGAAGAGGTAATAAGAATCTTGTTTTTACTTAGTTTTCCAAAAGCTGAAACTAACATTCTTCTGAAGGGAGAGTGGATGGTAACAAAAATCACTCAGACAGTCTGCATTCCAAGAACTGTCTAGTCTATTCTACACTAACCCCTCAGTAACTTTAACATTCTGACATAAAAATGTCTGCTGCTGAAGTTTTCTGGAAAGCTCACTGTAGGTCATGTGAAAGGGCAGCAATGTCTGAATATTTTGGAATTTTTCTTCAAAGTTTAGGGCTAAGGCGTGACTAATACATTTTAAAAGCTAAGCCATCTCTTTCTGGTGGGAGAAGGGGAAGTGGACATATGAACAAAGAATGTTTTTAAAATCTGAGAAGGCTGCTTATCAGCACAAAGATATTTCAGACTTATAAATGAAGAAGATGGATTCAGTAATGAAATCTGACAACATTACAAGGCGTATATCAGGGACCTGAGGTACCTTTGCTGCTGTTCATTTCTTAATTTTTTTCCCCTTTCTCTCTTCGTGGAAAGAATGCTTCTTCAAAGATTTGTTGGGTGAGAATCTCATCTTAAAGAAAAATGAGCAATGAGTTCTCAGGCTCATTTTAACCAAAGCGAGGTGCTTTTTTGTTCTGTAAAACGATGCATTATTTCATCCTCATAGTTGAAGGCACTAGGGCCCAGCAAGGAATAGTTTTTTTAAAGTTCCCCACTGTGGCTGCTACATACATACTCACTTCCTTTTGGTCTTATGATGAACTAAGTAAACCAGACTCTGACAGGAACCCTCCACACTGGTGGTTGTTTCCACCGTAGCATGTATTTGTCATGTCCATCTTCTTTTCTGACAGTTCATCTTCATCTGGTTATACAACATGGATCAAAGAGAAATTATCATGAAAAACCTGGAGAGGATCAGAAGCAGAAAGCTCAACAAGGAAGAATTCACCAATGAATATTTGGTAAGCAAGCTACAGCAGTATTTCTGAGCATGATAAAAGGAAAATTAAAATTGTGTTCTAAGAAGACCACCCTGTTATTTTAGAAAACGGCTGCCTCATGTTTGTAAGTTTTTTACTATGTAAGCACCTAAAATAGCATTGAAGGGGACAGATGGGAACTGCCTGAACCTTAAATTACTTTACAAGGTTCAAATTCAGCCCTTCCTGTTTTTTCATGTGGGATTGTACTAACTGAACTATAGTACTGGCTTGATTGCAAAATGGTTTGGAGTTCATTTTCCACCATATGGAGAGAGCACTTGGGATTACAGGTGATCTAGAAGGTCTAGTTCTTTCTTTTTGTGATCTTCCCCAGCCTCTGTTGAGTCCAGGTTGTAGGGAGACCTCCAATTAAATGCCCTCAGTGGGGGACTCTCCCTGAATTCATTTACCTCCTTGTTGTTATTGTTCAGTTCCTCTCTTTTGGTGCGATCCATACAACTGCCCAGAAGGAAGAAACGAGGCAATTAAGGCCTGCTCCTTGTCCTCCTCCTCATTCAAATTCCTGGTAAAAACAGGTGGAGAGGTAGAAGCAGGGCCAGTGATGAGCAGCAGCTCCTGCAGTAGCATGAACCTTCACAGGGATTCAGAAATGGTGGCCCCTTAATCCAGCCCTGGCCTTAATGATCATGTTTAAAAATGACCGATGACCGAGAAGTCATCATTTTGGTAAACTTGAAGAGAGGCTGTAAGGGAAGCTTTAGAGTTTGCAAGGTCTCCCTACTTTTTATCCCATAGTTTAACCATCAGCATATGTGCATGTGGCAAAAAAAGGAGGGATCTTCTTACTAGTCACTTCATGGAACATGGGAGTTTTAAAAGGTTTATGTTAGAAAGTAATGATCTAGTAATGGGTTGTACTTTGCATGATAAGCAGTTTCCTCATTAAGCAACAGTGAAATCTTTTTCCTCTTCCCACCTCAACCCCCATCCTAAAAGGGAAGGGAATAATTTTAAAAATAATGCTTGTATAGTCTTGAAGAATTAATAGCAAGAATCATATCAAAAGTAGCATTAGACTACCATGGTCAGATTTAAAAAATACATGGGAAGAAGTAATAGCAAGGTGAGGACTATGTTGACTGTGAATGGTGGCCTTCAACTTAATAACAACTTGTCAGTGTCCCAGTACATTATGGATTGAAAATTATGATTTGAGGAGTTCCTGGGAATCCATGGGAGCTTTTAGCAGGTCACTAAGTGTAGACAAAGTTCATGAAGAATAGTTTATTCATCACTGTGCTGTCCTGGAAATGATAGCTCAAATATATCATCAGCGTGTATGAAGGCTAATACTGAAGTTCAAGAGGGCAGTGTAAAGACTATACCCTAGAACTTCTCAGATTCCTTGGCAAGAAACATGCTGAAAGCACAAATATCTTTTCATTCATTGGATAAGAGTTGCTTCTGTACTGCTAAAGGAAAAAAAAAGATTTTTTTGCAACAGAAATCAGGAATAGCACTGATAGATATCAGAGTGCTAGAAAATAGAATTTTGCCTTTGGAAACAAACCTATCTTGTTTCCTGTAGCACTATTAAACAAAGACCACCCCTACAGAAGATTATTTGTGCATAATATTTTATCTTTTTGCCTTCAAATAGTTTAATATGAGTGTGTCTGTATATATGAATCTGAAATACGTATTAAAATTCTACACTGGTTGGAACAAACTTTTCTACATCTAATGCTCTCCAAATGTCCTGGAACTGCTTACTTCTATAGTCATATTCATTCAGGTAGGCTTACTGCCCAAAGCAACGATGCCGACAAATGCTACAAGTCCTTTGCAATGCTCCTCCAAAGATATCATGCCTTGCCTTCTTTGGCTCAGCCTTTGGATTCTGTCAGTTATTTCTAGCAGTTGATGGTTGGTTTCCTGCTGCCGTTTGTAGGCCTGGAGGAGGTGCAGCTCTGAAGTTTCTAGCCTTCAGGCCTTTCCCTTGTTGACGTTTTGGCTACCCTTTGCAGTAGAGGGCCTATATTCAGCCTTTTGTGATGCTGGTGGCTGTTTGGCTTTCTTTACTTCTTAACCTTGCTGTACGGGTGTTTTCCATTCCACCCCTTGGAGGGATTGACATCGGAACTAGAACTCTAAAAATTCCTAGCTTGAGGAAGAATATCATCTGCTATGATAAGGTATTAGTTGTTTTTGCCTCTGTACCACTGGACCAACAATGTTCACAAATGACTCATTTCAGACTAAAACATTCTTAGTGTGTTTTATGAAAATACTCCAAAAGTGTTTGATAGAAAACAGCTCTTCACTGCTACACTACCATACATCCAGACCTGATCAGGACAGAACACTGGAAACAAAAGGCAGTATTGTTTTCCTTCATAATTGTATCAGCTTGAATGGCATAAAATCATCCATTCCATTTATTCAGACAATAGTAATTTTGAACAATTCCCTTTCCTTATTTTTGTTGCATTTCTTCTGGTACAGCTGTTTAATTCCAGTGTTTGACTTTAGGATGAAACTGCAAATAGGTGGGTATAGCAGTGGGCAGTTTTCAAGCAGGCATGCAAGTGATAGATATTTATAATTAAGGGCCAGGGATTTGTTTTTATTACCAGAACTGAACATGATCTATTTTTTCCAAAGTATTTCAAACATTTTGAGGCCACTGAGATGATATTGGGTGGCAAAAATACTTCTTGATCTATTGTGTGTTGACCAAGTCTGGAAAGGTCAGAAACAAACATCCTGAAACCAGAATGATCCATTATAACAAGAAGGGATAGACGTCAACCATTCTTCCCGACCTGAAAGCAAGATGGTGTTAGCCCAGTATATAACACTGGCAGCATCATGCTTTTATTATATATATGGCTGGCATTTTCTTCTTGGTAGTTGCTAGATTTCTCCTTAAAATTGTTTTTCTAGTGCTTACAATCATCAGAACCTACCTGTTTGTCCTTGAATCACTTCCTGCAAAGCTTCCAGCTTCTGGTACTGGTCAGGTGAAGTCTGACATATTGCAAATCAAAACATCTAGCACAATTGATTCACCTGGTTTTTCAGATGTGGGTTTTGATATAGAAAATGCTGTTAATCTCCCATCTTCCTTTTCTATTTCCTTTTTTTCCCTTTGAAATTGGCAAGCTATTCAGTTTCATCTTTTTAATTTAATTTTGTTTTAAATAACTATGCAGATACACATTAATATTCAAACATGCTCTTTAGAAAGCCACCCTTCTCAGTAAGGAAAAGTGTCATGGCAGTAGGCTGAGAGCGGGGGTAAATATTCATGAAATCTCAATAAAGGCAGAATGGTAGCTTCTGAAAATGAGTAGGCCAGTGCCTGCCAAGAATATACAAACTGCCGACCAAGCGGAGCATGTGAATAAATCTCAAATTTGAGTGAGTCACCTTGTAGCCACCTCCACTGGTCTTTGAAAATTGTGATAGAATGGAAAATCTGCATCAGCTCTAATAGATTTGGTGTTTGGGTATCTGTGTTTGGGTGTACAGGGGGAAAATTTGGATTTGTGTAGAAAGGCTGATGTTCTTAAATATAGTGCTGTAATTCCACCTCATTGCAGAGCAGCACTAATGATAACAACCTGCTTCCAAATGCCAATTGTTAATATATGGAATTAGATAACATAGAATTATTACTGAACTGGCTATACAAGGTATCGTTTTTCTAAACTGCATTCTTCTTGTCATTTGAAGTGTCCATAACTTTCCAAAACCCTTCTTCCTTTAACCACTTTTGTGTGAGTTTGTTTTCTCCAAAATTGTATCTTCCAGATGTGATTCCCAGAATGTTGAGTTAGCACTGGCTATGCTGGCTGGGAATTTCAGGTGGTTGTGATTGGCAGTGGGGAAGACTGTAAGCCATCTTTGCAACCATATGGGAGAAGGATATTTTTATGGCTGCTCAGTTAGAAGACACTACATGGGGAGCTTGTTCACACAATCAGTTTCCCCATTGAGTTGTATCCACATTATTTTATGCTAAAACAGCAGTTGGAACAGGAAGTAGGTGCTATTTTTGAACAGAAATTAAGTAACTGTTATTTGGCATTTGTACTACATACCGCAGGATCCTTTTGCCTTGGGGAGGTTAAAACCTGGCAAGCTGTTTGTAAACTAAGAGGACAGTGTAAATATGTGGTCAGGCTTATAGTCTAATAGTCTATGGGTGCTTCAAAGTTAGGATTTAAGTGTGAAGTTCTCATGTACCATTCATAGAATTTTATGGGGTCCATATAGTATCTTCTCTTTTTTATTCACCCCTTTCCATTCTCATCCATTTTCTTCCATGCCACAGAAAATCCATTAAGGAGGGAATATTAGAACCTGTTTGTACTAGGGTTATATTTTACAAGATATGTTTTCTACATTTATGAATGTTTAAGTCTAAAAATAGGCTAGATGGGGAATTCTGGCAGTTGAGGTTCAACCAGTGGCGACTCAAGGGTATATGGCACCCCTAGGCTACATTGTTTGATGGTGCCATCCCCTGCCAATACAAATATTTGCATTTTTAGAATTATTCAGGACCCTAGGCCAGTGTCTCCTCAGCCATAGCCAAAAGCTGGCCATAGATTCAACTTATCTGGAAGATAGCCTGGTCAGGGAGGTCTCTGCCAGGAGCTGCATCCATTAAACTATTTTTTATTAATACATGTATATTGGTGGATTAGTTTTTCTTCCTCTACTTCTTTCTATAAAAACACTTATTTTCCTGCAAGCAAACGGTCTGTTCATGTAACTATTCGTAAAGTAAAATGTAATAGCAGCAATCTGGCTGTGGAAAAAGAAATCTTTCATATTTTGTTTTGAAGGCCATATGCAAAGTCCTTTCCTGTCCAGCTGCATAGAGTTATGGTTCACTGCCACTGGAGCTGGTAAAAAAAATGGGTGGGACCGGGAGACTAAAGATATGTGGGGTGGTTTTAAAGATATAGCAATAGTAGATACTGTCTGTTAAAATGTTCTCCAGTAAA